GAAAAAACAGTTATAGTAACAAATACAAAACAAGTTATATAAACATTTCCTTGTCACTGCCTAGCACATGCCGATGGCATTTACATACACAATACTACAAATCCAAGTGTATTTACTAACTTTTAAATTAGTAAATTTACATACTACATTAATGTACATGCATGCATAAATACACACATACATTCATACATCACACATACATGACTACACACATACGTAGACCTATGAACCCCGTCATAAGAACAAACCTGCACCTCATCACTCAGAAGATTATTTAGATCAACATGGTAAACATTTTACCTATATAACACCACAATACAACACTTACATTAATTACATTTTCAACACGTGAAACTCTCTTTGTCATAAATAACTAAACATAAAACAATGACATTTTATATTAGCAAAACAAACAGAAAGAATTAAAATCTCTTCACTTTTCCACACCGTACCAGACATCACTTAAATATTACCTTAACAATACGTTTTACTGTAGGCTATCTGATAATCTCACCTTTCGCTTCACTTCACTTCACTTCACTTCCTTTCAAATCGCATGTTTACACCCTATTGTCTAATTTCCTATATTTTTTCCTAAAACCTCGCGCTAAGCAAGAAAAGGGCTCAAGAACTGCCGCAGACAAATTATTCCAATCTACTATTGTTCTGTTTACAAAGAAGAATTTGCCTAGGTACTTTCTTTGTATTCTTGTTATAATTTTATACTTATGATCAAATATATTTATATAATCTGTTTTATCTAGCCTTCCCCGAATTTCTTGCCACATAGAGCAATCAGTGTAAGATTTCTACAGTGCGCAAGGTAGTGTCCTTTTTCTTCCGTGTGCTCACAATTTCTAATATGCAGGTATGTTCCTCCGTAATGTGTAATTTGCAACTCTGTTTTGTATCATCTCTAGACTCTTTTTAAGTCCTGTTCTGTACGGATCCCAACAACTAGCTCCATATTTCATTACCGGTCTAACAAGCGCAGTATACGCGATTTCTTTTGCTTTCGTATTGCAATTCTTAAGATTTTTCATCTAAGCTTTACCCACTTCATAGTTTGTTTCTCTCACCCCAAATTGCTGTGCAGTAAAATGCCGAGGTATTTATAGTTCAAGACTCGTCATTACGTAGCTGATGTTGTATTGTACGAAGAGCTGGCCTTACAAAATGTAATCGCTTTATTTTTCTTTCCATTTATTGTCATTTTTTGGCTCGTGCCCAATCATACTTTTTATTTAAATCGTCCTGTAGTTGAATTATATCGTGCTGTTCTGCAATTTCTCTATTTAATATATATTCCTATACTTGACTATAAGTTCTATAACTATAATATAACTATAATCCCTACAATTCCCTATATTAACGATAAAAACTGAATATATGCATAAATAGATGTTTGTGGATCAAGACCAAAACGAGAAGGTTTTGAGAGGTGTTTACTAACCACGCGAAGCATAACGGAACCAAATTTGGTAAATGGACGAGTTCCAAAACCTTTTTCTGCCAGGTGATTTCTAAGGTATAAACGTGTTTATTCGTTTTCAAGTAGCCATTTCTGTACCGAAATAAAGTGAATAGAAATATTTTGGTGAAGAAAATTCTAATCGTTTGGAACACAATATTAATGAAGGAAAACCTATAACCATTGATGACATTCTAATTGGTCAGCAGATATAATTATATTTTAACGAAAAGAATCGTGTGCGCCGCATTACTGTGCATCAGGGCAATAGTTATCGAATTAGTCCGGTAAACGTTTTTACTGGTCTATTTGGAAAATTCAACGTCACAAACAATATGCAGTATGGGTTTATTCATTATCGTTTCCAAGGGCATGCATGCACAAAATGTAAAGCCATATTAATAAATTACAGCTGAGAACGACTATAACTAAGCTAAATATACTTAGAAGTTGTTTGCCACAACAAGTTAAAACTCCTTATTGCAAAACTGACAACATGGGAAGGAGGACTTTAATTGTTCATTATCCTTGAAGTGCAAGATTTATTCCACTGAATTTGTATATAAATAACAAAATGATGCACTGATACAACTGAATATTACTTCACAATTCAATGAAAATTCAATGACATTGATGGATATATCTACATTATTTCAAATGAAAAATACTAAACATTTTTGTTTATTCATTTTTAATATCCGCTCAGTTTTCAAAGCTTTTCCTCTCAGTGTCCGAAGTTTTAGAAACAAATTAGAAAAATATATTAAATAAGTATGTGCTGTGTAGTGCGGTGAAGTGCTGGTCAGGGTGTAATTCAAAGGTAATCCAAAGCAAAAAAAAATGTAGTGTAGTGAAGTGAAGTGTAGTGAAGTGAAGTGAAGTGAAGTGCAGTGAACGTGATCAATGCTCTTTTCAATGCTGCTTTTCGTCTTGTACTGTATTAATGTAAGTGTTGTAATTTTTGCAATTATTGCCATTAACTGCCACCAGGTCATACCCAATTGCAGTTCTAATAAATGTATATGTATACTAGAGGTCATATGAAGATATTTGACTGTACACAAATATTTAATAATTAATTTTTAAAATATGTGTTTAAAAATATTTGAAATTAGTTTTCGAAATATTTCAAATCAAATTTAATCCCTCTCTGTGAGAAGTCAAAGTAGTCAAATAATGTCTAGTGAAATGAAAAGAAAATAAATTAATGAATAAAAAGTTCATATTGATGAAGCGTTTCCTTAATCAAATCATGAAAACTCAGGAAAAAAAATATAGTTCTGGATACACAAGTTCTGAATAGACACGCCAGAAAGGAAGACTAATTGACCATCCGACAGAGATGACTGCTTTTTTTTGGGAATAATCGGAAAACAGACGAACACGATTGTTGGGGAAACCAAATGAAATCAACGGTATTCGCAGTTTCAGTGTCATCACGACGTTTAAGCATTAGCAAAACGACTGGGTGAGGGAAACTGTTATAGGAGTTTATGGGTGTCAAAACGCCTAGGTATACGATGTGGCATGAATAGGACAAAATCCAAGGGCATATTTAGGCATGTTATTTTCCAACACTATAGTCTACGGAGGAAAAGTAATGGAATGTCATTAACCATATGATCTCGAATATTGGTCTAAAATCAATGTAATGGTTCTTTTCAGCTTTATCATCGCTCACACGTGATAATTAAGGTTCACAAGTGATGTTCTAAACATGGTTCAGATTAGTGCAAATGGAGAGGAGATCATCAATTCGCATATATGGGTGGATAGGTAGAGATGCCACGCATAACTTTATTCGATGAGAAGCTTTTTACCTGAAACTTGGTAAAAATGTCACGATGGTCCGAACATTCCCAGTCATTTTTCAAACATTTTGTTTCTTAATACGGGATGTTTTTTGCATAACTTCATTCAATTGTGTATCTTTAAATGAAGACAAGCATCTTTATTTAATCTGAAAAATTGTAATAACACTAAGAGGAGAAAAGGCTTCGGTACGTCACACATTTCCTCTTGTTTTCCTAATGATTAATTTAATACAATTTTTAATATTCTTTGTAGTACTAGTACTGCACTGGCATGTACTTGACGTGGGGGAAGAAGTTAAAATGTGTTTAGGATCATTTTAACCTATTTTTTTGGTTGCTACTGACTTACAGAGATCTCGGTACAATTCATATAAAGTGTATTTCTACATTACCTTATTATGACTTACGAAGCGGGGTGAAGATAGCATGGCAAATACTTCAACCGGGTATGTTTCCCAATATTTACGGTTAATATAGATTGTAAGTATTGGCACTCATTTGGAAAGAAGGCTTAGTGGACCTTACGTCCGCCCCTAATAGTTCAATGAATAAAAATTCTCAGCTATTGTGGGAATTTAATCCGGGTATCTCATGTTAGCAAAAGTGTGTCCTAATCACTACGCTGATACAAATGTTCTAATTAATAACATTTTCTTTGTCGTGAACTATTTTTACTCAGAATCATTTTTACTAAGCGTGTGAGTTTAAACGCTCATAAACTTATTAATTTTGTTTTGTAACACACACATACGTGGTAAGTCCTTAGTTAAAATTTTTCTTCATAGGACATTAATGTATTTATCGTTTGGATTTTTCCTTCAACAAATCCAAATTCGTTAGGCTATTGAAATTTATTGACGTTAAGTACTTTTTGTCTTAAAAATGTTAATGAACGGGAAATAATCTGCAGTGTATGTGTACTTTATATATTCAGGTTTGTTCGTTGAACATATCACTCGCGTTAAATAATGACTCTCTCATTAGTTGCGTATCTACTGAAAAGAAGCTGTCATCCTGGTACCATTGTATCTCTGATGTCGGAAGTTCGCAACACTGAGTATGCATTCTCGATTGAGCAGTGGGCTTTATCGCCCTCATCCATCTCCCATGCGGCATTGGGGAATCAACAGTCTGTCAGTTACACATTAAAAACACCGAGGCTCTTCCCCAAAACTTCCCTTTCAGCCAATGAAGTGTTGTGCTGATGACACTCAAGACTGCCCTATCTACGCTCGTATGAGCCTGAGAGAAGCGCTCCTAGGGGGGCAGTCATGGTTATTTTACACACTAGTTACCAGCCGCCAAGGGTCTACAAGTAGCGATAGTACGTATCTAAAAATTCGAACCAGTGGGCCACGACGGTATTAGAGTGAAAAAAACGGTGTCCGCTCGTAGTGGTTTGTGAGTTTCAGTCTGCGCGATGGAATATCAGTGCTGACAAAATTTGAAAGGCATCACAAATGATGGTTAGACAAAAAGGTACAACCATGTAGCAGTGATTCCACACTTTCGGCGCGGACCGAGCAAGCACCCGCTGAATGTCGGGACGTGTGGATGGGTTGCTTGGTACGTGCCGAGCGATAAACAGTCGGCGCGAGCAGCGAGTCGGTACTTTGGACACATAAAAGGAAGCGAACAATCGCTGAGTTGGGCGAGCATCTCGCCGAACGCCCGGCGCATACCGCCCCCTTCAGAGGAGTCGTTGGAGTACTCACGTCGACGTTGATGCCGGGCAGCGGGAAGACGCGCGTGTGCGGGAGCTCCTTGGGCACGTAGCGGAAGAACTCCTGGCGGCCCTTGTACCACTTGACGGTGTAGAGCGGGTCGCCTTCCAGGTCGTAGGCGCAGTGTAGCGTCACCGTGTCGCCCGGCGCCACGGCCAGCGGCACGCTCACCGACACGTTGCGCAGGCCGCCCACGCCCCCTGCAACACGCCCACGCCCACGTCACCACGCCGCCTCACCCCACGCACAATGCTGCGCTTCAAAGCGCTGTGCTAAAGGTGGGAAGGTCTTGCATTTAATTAAGCGAAGCCTGTCCAGGGGAGGGTGGGTCAAAAATTCCGTTCGATGTGTTGGCGTAACTCAGATGAAACTTAATAAAGGGGAATCAAATTATATATATATATATATATATATATATATATATATATATAAATTTTACTGGCCAACATTCACTATTTTCTAATATTTGCGCTTTACTTAACTCAAAAATTGATAACAATGACGTTTAATGCATTATATACCATTTTGATTGTATAATTGTAAAGAACCTGTATTGTACAAGTACTGTGTACATAGTACACACAAGTATATTTATTGTACACATAATTGAACACGCCTTATACAAGATTTGGGGAAACCAAAACCAGAAATTGTATAGTGGATATTTCTTTGTAAGCGCAGAATGTTAATGTATTCCTAATAATGGGTAATTCACGTAATCGCATTTACTCGCAATTGTTTTCTAGCATGAATTCGTAACATTTTTTTACATTCTCATTGTAAGGTAGTATCAAAATGATTTCTCTAATCCTCATAGACGACTTTGTGAGTTCTCGCGTGTGTATTGCTATTACATACAGAAATTTGATATTTGAAGATTTGAGATTAACTTCAATAAAATATCCTTCAGTTACAGAGATTAATCCAACAAATACCTCACTATAATAGAAGGGTACCCTGAAATTGTTATACAACTGTATAACCTTAACCATATGTACCGAATGTAAAATTAAGCAAAAGACACAATATTAGCACTATAACTACCAATTAAGTGAAATAGAAAAATTCCAAAAAAGTGAAAAATAAGTGATACATTATTTATGAACTGGAGTATATGCAACATGTCTCATACCTACAGACAACAACAACAACAATAATAATAATAATAATAATAATAATAATAATAATAATAATAATAATAATAATGATAATACCTGAAATACACAGTTATCAATGACATAATATTCATATAAAACACCATGTAATCGTCACGATTTTCAAAACATGACAGTATCACTACTTCGAATTTAACGTTTACGTACGCGTTTAATTTTATTACGCATTTTGCTACATTCACAAAAACATTTGTTTCATCAAACTGAATCAATGTAAACTACCCATTAAACAAACTCCAATATCGTAACATATAACCATCTAAACCGCAGCGAACAACCGAAACCGAAAGTCACCACCAAAAAAGTACTCGGGTCGCCGTTTACAACACGCACCGTAACATTTACCCTCAACCGCGCAAGCGCACGCAAACAGCCCGCAAAACAGCGCCGTCGGAGAGCAAAATCCTCGCGAGCGGAGCGGAGCGGAGCGGAGCAAGCAAGCGAGGTCACCGCGCGCACGTCCCTTGTTTGACCAACGTTTCTGCATCGCAAAAAACTTTCAAAGGTACACTTCCCTCCCTCGATTCCCAGGGGTCCGCCGATCTGCCGCCACGCAACGGGGCCGGCGCTGCGCGCTGCCCGCACACGCGGTTCCTTGCGGCCAAAAACTGCGAATGCCACCGCGTTCAAACAGGACGTCCTCGCCTGTTCTAGGAATGAGGTTTTTTTTAGATCAAATTTCCATTCATTCAGTAATTGACGAAAAATTCTAAAGCTGTGAAAAGTTATTCATAACAGTGTATTGCAGACGTAGATACAAATAAAATTTTGTTGTATTTTATGTATGTTGGGTAGCAAAAAAATTGAATTTTTTACGTGCTTATAAAATAGAGAAATGTGAAATAGAAAAGCAAATAAAAGAAAGGGAAATAGGAAGTAATAACAAAACATTTTTGATTTATAAATTAAATAACTGAAGGTTTTGTGGAAGCAATGGTACTGTCGACTGCTAAAAAACCAAAACCAAATACATAACGCAATCTGGGCAGGACATTTAAGGGCGGACCTAGGTGACGTAAAGAAAAACAGACCGGGCAGGATCAGATGGGAGCTGGGCAGATGGCATGTGGCAAGGTGATGCCGATGGGGCGGAGAGGGGACGTAGAGCGAATATGAATTTATGTACGGCGGGAATTTGCTATATTTAGAATTCTCACCTTCTTCTGTATAATTAAAGATTGGAATTTATAAATTACCGTGCAACGTAGGATGCTGTAGCTAATATAAAAAATAGCTGAATTGTTCCATTGTATCTTGAATGCCAGTTTACATCAAATTGTAGATTAAATTGATCCAGCGATTGTGCCCACTCACGATCTCGCATCCACCCACTGCATGCGGTCTCTGACCAGGTCCGCGCAGCCTTCGCCTCGAAATCCGACGCGAGCGACCTCGCTCGGCTGGCGCCAGCCGACGCCGGCGGCGCCGAATTGGAGCGCGGGCATAAAAGACAACAATCAAATTTGATATCTCTCCGCGCCGCTGCCGCTCATTTCCCAGAGGGCGCCGCGGCGCCGAGACCCGAGCGGGGGCGGCGCGGGGAAGGACGGGGGCGCTCTTCGCCTCGGGCAAAGCGCGAACGCTTTAGCCCGCCCGTGAGCGTATTCGCGAGCTTGTTTCGTTTCGAGATATTGTTCCGTGACGACAGCTTCTGAGTCCTCTCTGACGTGTCCTTGTTAAGGGATGATAATGAATGCTGAGCTAAACGGAGCTTTCGTGTGTTTGTTTGTTTTTTCAATGAAATCGAAAAGTAATAGCCTTCCTCTAGAGCTGTAACAAATTTGTATTCCAAAAACGTAATTCTGGAAAGTGAATTATAACAGAAAGTTATAAGACATAGTATATTATTTTTAGATAACGAATAATATTAATAATATGGTCAAAACATACTATAATTTTATCTTGTAATTAAGAGTATCGCTTATTTATACTGAAAAATATTATAAGAAGACACTGAGTCATTATTGAGTACTCAACAGCTTTCAGTATCCAACATGAATATTCGTATTCTTTTACAATAGCGAGAAAACAATGCCAAAATAAAAGTCCCTCTATGTGTGAAATATACTAAATGAAAGACAGATGCAGCTGCCGACGTATTATACTGCACAAAAACGGAATATCAGATGATCTATTTCATGATGATTATTTACATAGTAGCAACAATTTATACAATCTTAAATCCCTGTGGATATGTGTTTTATCTTTAATAACATTTATAATTGAACTAAGCCGGAATAAAGGATATTTATATGCTAACCCTGTCGAAAGTTCCTTAAATATGACTACTGGAATCTACTAAAGAGCAGACAATGCTTCCGGACAAAGCATTATGAGGCGAAAACTGTGAGAAACAATTGCTGCACACTCCACACGTGCATGTGTAAATGCACTGAACGTAGAGAGAATTACGTGACCACTACGTTGGTACATTGCGATAACGGAAAATCTTCCTATCAGAAGCTGCTAACATTCGGGCTCATTCAGTGGAAAATACTCCTGTCGTCTTTAGCAAACCCAACAACACGTTTGGCAAGACATGAGTCAATAGATAGTTAACATTTCCTTTATTACAGGCCAGATGTAAGAACAGTTTGTGGCGACGGCCTAGCCGTTGAGCCCCATCATGCCCCAGGGAAGTAGCGCGCCGCGCCGCCGAGTGGCCTGGCACCGGAGATGAGAATGCTGCGGCTGCGAGATCGCGTCCGGAGTCCCGTGTCAGAGAGGGGCTTGCGTCGCTCACACTCAACCGCCGCCACCACAGCCGTCACCGCTCATACGCACAGCAATCCACGCAGACCCCACCCACCGCCCCTCCACGCCACTTCACCACGCCGGCCTCTGACACCGGAGCCTTCGGCAGGCACTTTGTCACCGCGGCTGCATCAGCTATTTAGTGCAGTTGATACGTGGAACGCTAACAGATACCTCAAAAGGGATTCAATATAATGCCTACAATGTCAGTACTTTTATACGCCGACCGAACAATTCTTCAGATTGCGGATATAAAAATTTAATGTTTTTAAGTAGACAAGTTTCTTTTGCAATGAATTACAGTTAGTGAAAACAATTCTAATTCCGTATAAAATTTATTATTTTTGTTTAGTAAATTCTATATCATCGAATAAGTTTTGGATGTTAGAAATTCCATCTAGCTACCCCCCAAAACATGTTAATTTAAACCTCCATTCTTTATCGCTTTTGTATTATGTTTTACATTTGAATTCTAATATTCATTGAACTGTCTTTATGTAGAAATTATTTTTCAAATTTAACTATTTAATCCGAAAATATTAAATATAAACAATCATTTTCCGTCAAACTGACCGACAAAAAAGTAATGTCTGCTTCATCAATTTTTTTACTAAAATGTTCACTGTCGATATGTTTGAAAAGTACTTATTCATTTTCCAGGAGATGACAGATCTTTCTTCAACCGCCAACGCAGGTTTATGGAGTTTACATATCTAATGTTTTAATACGATTAGTAAACAAACGTATCTGAAAGTGTCAGATTAAAAGGTATTCTCATTGACAACTTTCATTCAGATGATCTGAGATGTGCGAGATGTGAATGGAGAACCAGTATGTTGATGTAAGATTCTTCTCGTTTCCTGCAGCAACACTCTGTACACACGTGTAAAGCAAATTGCCTACTCTCAGTCTATATATTTCAACGTGTTTATCGTATCACCGAAGTGAGTTACTTAAATGTTAATTGTACGCCAAGCTTTTGAAAACAACATGAAGTATCTGGATTATCTAACATTTGTAATGGATCCACTTCTTCTTCTTCTGTTTTTCCTCTTCTTTCACTAGATTTCCATGTAAAATGAATTCAGGTACAGTCTGAATTTCAGGGAAAATCTGAAATACTAAATTACTATTGTCTCTTAAATTGACAATAGTTGAATCTTCTTTTCGATCATTCTAGCGACTATTTGTGCTGAAAATAGTTACAGTGTAGCACATACGTGTGCGCATGGTTAGAGAGTGTATAATTCGTATTTTTTCGTGAAAATGTTTACTGGCTTCATCATTGCAATTTGTCATCAATATTTTGCCTGTTCAGTTACTTTAATTATGCAATTCTCATACTCTTAGCTTCAACCGTTCTTGCATTTCTTCCAAAACATCGCTTCCACCACTACCTCGCTTCCTAAGCAACAAGAGCAATCTTAACCCCTCCATCATCATCATGCCTCACGTTCCACTCCCATCCTCTTCATTTGGACGCCCCACTCCCACCCTGCCACCTCCCCCGCGCCTACTCGCCCACTCGCTCATTACGCTCGCGCCACTTGCGCGCGCCCCGCTCGCGACACGCCCGCGCACGCGCACGCGCCGCCACGCGTTCAGTGAAGGATTAAACACGTGCTGCTGACAGCTGCGACGCGATTCATCGGCGCGGTGGGGCGCGCGGCGGGCGCTGGGCGCTGGGCGCACGCGTGCGGCACTGCCCGTCGCTCTCCGTCCGTCCGCCCGCCCGCCCGCCTGCCCGTC